TATATATATATATATGTATATATATATATATGTATATATATATATATGAAAATATTATTTCAAATTTATAAACTCAATATTAAAGGTATTGGTGTTACACAAAGTCGTGCTCACAATAACTTAATCAATTCCCATTCATGATGCATCATTCGTTTAATTCACGTTTTTCTAAAACTTAACCAACTTTCATGTACCGACGTTCTTCCCATCTTATATATGTGCTATGTTCTCAAAGTTAAGGGAGTACGTGGATGATACTGAGGACTATATCAACATCATGCTTGATGAGAAACAGAATCAGCTGCTGCAGATGGGGATTCTGCTCAGCATGGCGACACTTGTGCTCACAGCTGGTGTGGTGGTGACAGGTATTTTTGGCATGAACATCACCATTGACCTCTACAACGTTAAAACTTATCACCAGTTCTGGGAAACCACTTATGGAACCGTTGGGGGTTGTGTAGTTCTCTACATAATGGCAATTGTCTGGGGCAAAAAAAGTGGTCTTCTTCAGTGATCAAAGCTTGGCCTTGAAACTTGGTGATATTTTTATCCTTTTTTGTAATATTATAATTGACAATTTCTATTAGGAACTCTGCTAGCTTGATTGTGCTGGACTTGTTTTCTTCCTATTATTTTGCTTGTGTAAACAGTTTTAATATTGTCTGATCGTTTCGATGCGTTCTCGTAGATTTCTATATTATATTTTGACTCGTAAATGAATCATTGCACTTGAATGACAATACAAGTTCAACTCTGTAATACTCAATCAAATTTATTCAAATTAATATATTAATAAACTTAACATTTGTTTTTAGCGGCATTTATATGCCACACAATTTACATGTATTTACATATTTGCGAGTATACTTTCAAATTTATCTCTACAACACCAAAAATTTTAACTTCATATCAAATAGTCATGTTTCTTAAAAGTGAAATATACCATTTCATGCATGGGGGGCACTAAGGAGTTATAAGTGTATGTATGAAATTTTAGTTGTTAAATATGTTAATACATTAGAATTGTGTGGCATGTATGTAAATTTCTTTTTTTTTAAAAACTTAATAAAAAATGGACACAGTATAGGTAGTTTATATTATTATACTGAATATGCAATCAATAATGTTTTGATATTAGTTAATTTAAAATTATATAATTATATAACTTTATATAATTCACAATAATTATATATTATCATGTACATTTAATTTTTTTTATGTCGTAAAATTTATCAGCACTTGGCATTCTTAACATTTCTGTTTTATTCTTGTAATTTAGTTATTTATTGCCAAATATTTTTTATTTATAAAAGCATTTATAGAAAATTAATTATCTAGATTAAAGTCGGGCTTGTAGTGATTTCAAAATGTTCATAATTAATTATGTTATATTTTCTAATTCTCATTAAATAATCTTGAATTAAGACTAGTTCACTACTAAGCCATTAACAATTTCATGGGTAAATTTGTAATTTTAGGAATGTTAACTCAAATGAAATTCAATTCTCATTAAAGAGTCATACTATCATCTAAGCACCAATTAGGGGCTTCAAATAAGTGAATTATTATCTTCCTAACTTAAGACCACAACCTTAGTATTATCCAACTAGATTAACCTCCGAGTCATAAAAATTTATAAAATTGCAATTCTACCTTTATCATAAAAAAGTGGCAAATTGGCTTCTTCCTCTTAACTCATTATATCTCAAACATCTAAAAAAACTCACTATGATCAAAGGTACCCATTTATCCTTTGGTTAATCCTAAATTTTAATTAAGGCATCAAAATCCAAAATTATCATTTTGCCCCGTCGGCTCTCTATTTCATAACTTATCAAATATAACTCAAATGACTTTGAAATTCTTATAGTACCCCACTCATGGGTCAATTAAAATATCAGAGGCAATACTGTGATTTTTCTAATTTTTATTTAATTTATATAATTATTATTACCTCATAAAATAGAATTTTCAATTATAATTTATTTAATTAATGAAAAGAATTATAGTTATTATTACCTCATAAAATAGTATTTTCAATTATAATTTATTTAATTAATGAAAAGAAACTTTTTGTTCATCAAAAAATTATTAAAGGTTCACCTAGGTCAGAAGACCAATTTGACAAAATTTCATAATTATTTATATTTTATTTTAATTATTTAAATTAATTATTGATTTTAGTGATTAATTAAATATGAAATATGTTTTAGTTTCAAAAATCACTTTTTATATTTTTCTTAAATTTCCCCAAGTCCAGAGGGCCCTAAGAAACAAATGTTTCAGTTTTGAAATTTTTATTTCATTTATTGCAATTATTTTAATGAAAAATTAAAGAAAATACATTTTTAACCTTTAAAAATACATAACTAAATCAAGAAAATTAAGAAAAATATTTTAATGGGTCATAAGTGATCAGGGAACAGTTATAAATAAATTTTGGTTCTTTTCTTATTTTTTTGGAATTTTAATCATTTTAATTATTTTTTATTCAAAATATAGCTAAAAAATAAACTATTTATTTTAAATATTTTTTATTTTTCCTAAGTGCTTTTGATCACAAGGAACTCAGAAAACCACTTTTCATAATTTTCTTAACTATAGTTATATTATTATAATTATTTTAATGCAAAAATACCATTTTACTTACAAAATAGACTTTAGTGCTCAAACTAATTCAAATAAATTTCAAATTTCTATAGTGAGTTAGAATGATTATTATTTATAGTGTGAAATAATTTTTGTTAATTTTTGAATATTATTTTATTCATTTTAATTTTAGTGAGTTTTTAGGATTTAATTAACTATAGTAATTTACATAAACATTTAAACTTTATTTATATTTTTCTTAGAGTCCCCTAACCACAGAGTACTTACCAAAATAGGTGCCATATTTTTCTGATTCATATTTTAATTTATGCAATTATTGTAAGTAAGAAAAGGATCATAGCATTGAAAATTAGGGTTACATGTGTAGAGATGTTTTCTAACTTTGGAAAAGTCACAGAACATCCGTACTGTCATGAGGAATAAACCCCTAATGTTTCAAGCTATGGTGATTATTATTTGCTTAATTATAATTAAAACATTACAGAGAATATATAATTAATTATAAATAAAACACAAGTCAAATACTTTTAATTATTGTTCCACATTATTCTCCTCTTTACGCTAAGCAAGGGGATATTTTTCTTTTTTTTTTCTGATTTTTCTACACTAAGTTGTGATATTTCTAATTTCTGGAATTAATTAAAATCCTTTAAATCTTGTTTTCCTACTTAAACACGTGGTAGGCGTGTCATCCTAGGCGCTCCGAAACGCTACGTGTTGCACCACCATTTGACGCCATTATTCACGTAGTTGTTGACTCAGTCAGCGCTTTATGTTCAATTCTCTCGTCCGACGTGATCCTGGGCCTCCATTTAATACACGTGCGATCCAACGACTCTCCGTCATCGTCCTCAACTAACCTAACCCGAGAACTGTACACACAAAATCCTTAAGATCTCTCTCGATACTTAAAGAAATCTCATAGGGTTTGTTCCTACACTTTCATATGGTCCAGACGAACCTATCTATATGGTCACATGCTCATAAAATTAAACTTTTCTTCACAAAAGCAAAAATCGAGCTTGATTTGGGGGAAAATGAGTTATACCTTTGTCTGAGAGGGGAAACCACAATCAGATGCTTGGATAAGCTTCAGTGCAGTCCAACGAAGATGCCTGAAGTGTTGCTTTTCTTTGGTGAAAGGTTTGGGTATGAGTTCAGTCAGAAGGTGTTGCTACCTTGGTCTAGAGGTGGGTTAAAGGGCTCGGGACAAGAGGATTTTGACGGTAAACTTCCACGTTTAGTCTGAGGAAGCTTAAGGATGATTTAATTTGAATTTTTGAAGAGTTCTTTGGGATGGCAGAAAAGGTCCTGATTTTTTAGTTCAACAGTGGGGGCAATGGCTGGACTGAGCTTAAGAGGTATTCGAGAAGATCTAGAAGCAATTTGGCAAGTCTCCCCAAGGATTTGTGCACTCACCTTATTTGTTCGTGGGAGGTGGTGTTTAAATAGAGGGGGAAAGAGGGGCCACCATGGCTTTTTTGTGGGTCAACTGCTTATGTGGAGAGAAGAAAGGTGCAAGTGACCTATTTGGATGAGCCAAGTGATGGAGTTGCAATCTTTAGTTTATTGCTTGGGGTGGCTCTTAGTTTTGATGTTTTCCAGCTATTAGGCTAGCCGGCAAGGACAGGGGAGGTGGCTAGGTGGTTAGGGGGGGCAGAGGAAGACTTAATTGTTGATTATTTTTGTGGCTTGATGGATGATGGCAAATCTCTCCTTGTATTAATCATTTTAGGAAACGATCCCCTAAATCCATGGACCCTTGGTCCATGGCTCAACTAGGTTAGGCCTAGGGCTCTAATGTTGGCTGTGGTGACCATGGTTTTGTCAATTTCAAGTAGTTTTAGCCAATTTGAGGCCTTTGGTCCAAAATTGGGGTTTGGGTTTGATCTTGGAATTGGGTTTGGCTAGACCTTGAATTTGGTTCAACTGAGGGCTTATATTGGTGTGAAATGTTATCATGAGAAGTTTAAATATCAATAGGGTTGCAATTGGGGAGATATGAAGTTCAATTTGGTTTATTTTAGATTTCAGGTCAAGATTGGGGATTTGAGCTAGACTTGGGTTTGGATTATTCTAAGGCTTAGGTTAGAGTCAATTGATGGTTCAAATTTGTCCAAGAGATTGTGATGAAGAGTTTTGGTATCTATTGGGTGGAGATTGTGAGTTAAGAAGTTCAATTTGGGAGATTTTGAATTTTGGTGCAAAATTGGGGTTTTGACTTTGGGGTTGGAATTAGGCTTGAGATTCGGTTCAATTGGGGTTAGCATTGGTCTCAATTGGGATTGAACATGATGAATTTTGATTTAGAATTGAAAGAAGGTGAGATTGAAGTCAATTTGGTGGATTTTGGTCAAAAGGGGTCAATTTGGTCAAATTGGGCTCAATGGAGTAATTTAAATTGATTTTGGGGACATCTAGAATGATTTTTGAGCTTTTTGGAATATTTGGAATTTTTGGGGTATGAAGGGCATTTTGGTAACTTTGGTAATTTTGGGGGTATTTTGGGGATTTTGAAAATTTTGGGGTATTTTGGTCAACTTGAGTGATTTGGAATGGTTTGAAATGACTTTTGAAAAGACTTTGAGAATTTGGGTAATTTTTGGAAAATTTAGGGTTTAGGGGCAATTTGATAGTTTTGAGAAAGTTTGGGAGCATATGGCTAAATTGGGTATTTGGGTAGGATTGGGGTTCAATAAGATGCTAATCATAAAATTTACCCATTTTTGAGCCATGAGATCAAGGGAATTGATACACCAAAAATAAATGCATTTTTAGACCCATATTTTATAACCATTTTTGGTGATATTACACTTTAATGGAAGGTATTTTTATGTTTTCTTGCAGGTTGTTGAATTTTAGGACTTAAAACAAAAAGGAAGAAAAAAAGATGATATTTGGAACAAAAATGAAGAAGTTGAAAATTTGTTCAGCGCCGACGGCGCCGTTTGACAGAGAGCAGCGAGTTAAATTGCAGAACACTGGCGCTGACGACGCCACAATGGGCGCCAACGGTACCAATGTCTGTTCAGCCCCTGTTTCTAGAAGATTCGACGAATTTGGACACTT